GTCTTGGTCTCCAGTGGCAATGCCAGGTGCTGGCTCGCAGGATGGCCCGGCCGGGCGAGCTCGGGCGCAGGGGTTCGGTCCAGTGCCCCGCGCGGCAGGACCCCCCACCCCAGGGCGGCTGCCCTCGCTGCCCGGAGCCTGGCTGCTTGCTTGCCCTGCGCCAGTCGGCACGCTGGTCCACTGAGTAAACACGCACTAATCGGCTTCCTCGTTTCTCCCAGACTGTCTGCTTTCCACGTCACTCAACACCCCTGAGGAATGAGGATGAGGGAGCGAAGCCGACTCTGAGGTTTGCACCGAATGTCTGCATCTGTGTGCTTTGGGGGCGGGGCGGGCGCTTCAAACACATAATTAACAGCGAAGTATTTGCTTGCCATAAATTGTTGTTCTCCTTCCTCAGTCACAGAAACTCCTTCTGAAGGACAGGAATACATCACAGACTCCTTGGACAGGTCGGGATTGAGGAGGCCCTTCACTGAAAATAAAAGAAATTTAAATAAAATTACAGTGTGCTCCTTTGAAATGAAGCAAAGGGATTTGTTATAGGGGACAGTGATGCTGCTTGGAACCTGAGGTCCAAAACTACAGATACAGGACAGGGACTGAAAAGACACTGGGGCCGATATGATGGCACCTGTTGGTCTGGGGTAACAGGGTCTCTCCTCTCTCCAACTCCCTGTGGAAAGAAGTGCATTTTAATTTCAGCCTATTCCATGGGCAGGCTCTCAGATCCAAGCCCTGTGGTTTCTTGTCAGCCAGGGGCAGGGAGGGACACAGTTAATCAGAAAGAAAAAATCTTTCTCTCTCTCTCTCTCTCTCTCTCTCTCTCTCTCTCTCTCTCTCTCCCCCCCCTCTCTATCTCTGTCTCTCTCCCTGTTTCTGTCTATCTGTCTCTCTCTCTCTCCCTCTCCCTCTCTGTCTCTTTCTCCCTCTCTCTGTCTCTCTCTCTCCCTCTCTCTGTCTCTCTGTCTCTGTCTGTCTCTCTCCCTGTCTCTATCTCTGTCTCTCCCTCACCCTCTCCCTCTCTGTGTCTTTCTCGCCATCTCTGTCTCTCTGTCTCTATCTGTCTGTCTGTCTGTCGTCTCTCTCTCTGCTGATGATCACCCCCCCAATGGTTCACTGATTTTGATTAAATAATATATTTGATCATCCAAAATGACTAAAAGCTGGACACAATGTTAAACACCACACAAAGACTCGCAGATGGCTCAGAATCTAGGGAGAGACTCTAAGAAGCAAAGCAAAAACCACAGTGCAGGAATCTAAGTGCTGATGTCCAGAAAACCCAAGCATTTATGACTGGACAGAGGAGGGACCCAACTCAGACCTGAGAACTGGAGTGGCTTCTAAGTAGTATCTAATGGAAAAGTGGGAATCAACCAAGTAAAAGAGAAATTTCCTGAGGAACTTTTAAATTGCAGTTGGTAGAAACTTAGCTCATGTTAACTTAAGCAAACAGAAAAACGTATCCACTCACGTAACTGAACATGAGACCATTACGTGACCAGAACAGAGAGTAGTGTGCTTCAGGTATGGCTAGATCCAGGTGCTCTAGTGATGTCATTGGTAATCTGCCTGTGACTTTTGCATTCTCTCTGGCATCATTTTAAAG